ATCTAACCAATTTAATAAATTTGTTTTATAACTAATATATATTGTGAAAGTATATATGAAAAGTATATATGAAAAACAAACATAAAATAAACAAATGTAAAGAAACTCACCATACAAATAAATTTGAAAAAAAAACACACAAAACATAAGAAATTGCACGAAAAATTATGTAACAACAAATTGATAAAACGTCGATTATGATAAATTTTAAATAATTGTAAAATTAAAATATACATGTAAATAAATAATATATTTTATTATAAAAAAGCACACATTTTACATGTTACACAAACTCCAAGCTGACATGTTCGTTTGGAATAAGATTTTTTTATAATAAAATATATTATTTATTTTTATGTTTATTTTAATTAAACAATTATTTAAAATTTTCTGTCTTCTGTAATCTTATATATAAAATTCTTATATAATGATATATGTAAATATACTCCTCCTTAACGATTATTCGGATTTTGATAAGTCTTTTTGAAGTTTGTTAAGGGAATTTTTTAAGATGTATGTAATTATAAAAATATAGTAATATTGTAAAAATAAATGGAAAAAAATGCAAAAAAAAACAACATATCATTTTTTGACTTTAAAAACATTTTGATACATGAGATTTCGTCAAAAATGTGGATTTTTTTTATTTTATTGATTTATTTTTTTGATAATCAATAATTGACAAACAATTCAGAACACATTGGACAATTTCTATCAATATTTTTTATAACATTATCAAATTCAATAAATAAATAAATAAATTGTAGTGAAAAAGTACAAAAACATTTGTTATATAGTTTTATTAATATATTCTGTGACTCACCAATAACATATAGTTTTACTTGATTTAAGGAAAGTCAAATGATTAAGCATCCCTTATTGAGTACTGAGATGTAGAGAGGCAATATTTTTTTTATAAATATGAACTTAATTGACTTGAATACTTTAGCACCTGGAGTAAGATCATGGATATATGTATTTTTATAGAACCATACATTTTAGGTAGTAAATCTTGCACATGATTGATAAAAAGAGGTTTTGTTTATAATTGCCAATTATAATCGACAAATTTAGGGATTTACCAATTATATGATAAATGGTAAAAATCGAGCAAAATACAAGTTAAAATTATTTCATTTTGTAGAAATAGTTACATAATAAAATTAAATGCAACAATTTATAATATAATGTTAATATTATTCACAAATGTAGTACTGGCTGAAATAAATGCTAAAACGCGTTGCTCTATGTGGAATAGAGACAAGGACTTAACAAAAACAATAAAATCTAATACTTTCAAATTATAATGCAGGAGAAGAATGTACATGATGTGAAATACTTAAAAAAAAACTATTTCAATAAGTTTTTCTGTTACAAAGAAACAAGGACTTCTGTGTGATACTAACAAAGTAAGAGGAAAACTTTTAGTAATGCAGATTGTTGAAGAATTTAATTAAATTTTAATGTGGATCTTCAGCATTCCTTGTTTTATTGCAATAATAATTAAATTACTAAATACTAAATTATTTTGAAAGAAATATTAACTAACCATTGGAATTTATCACATTTGACTTAAACATTGAGTCGTTGCGACATCTTGTTTGTTTTTCTATGAATTTTTGGGGGTTGCAACCCCACTAACTAAACTGCCGCTTTTATTTTGACGTATACTTAATATAAAATTATTGAAAATTATCTTTCTATTATTATCATTCATTATCTATTATTTATATGCAAAATTAATCGTACAAATTTAAATATTAATTTCAATAACGACATTCTTCCACGACAAAGACTTAACTCTCAAGTCAATGATCTCTGATGTTAAATATTCCTTTGTCATCTGCGATTTATCATTAGCATAAAGTTTTTTTTGCATTTTTGATTCTTAAAAAAAATAGCTTATTCCATATTTTTATACACAATGTTAATTATCTAGTGATTAAATCACGAGGATTTATTTTTTGGTTCTCGAATTTTGGTCTTGACTATGATTATTGAATTTGAAAAGTGTCAAATAGATTTTTAATATTTGTTACTTTAACTACTTCAAAGAAATATTTCAAAGAAATATTTCAAAGAAATTATGTTTTATACTATCTATATGGATAATAGATATAGATAGCTCATAGATTAAAAGATAATTGCCAAGATTTCTAACTAATCAAATAAGTTAAATTTGAATTCTTAAATTGTTTCTTAAATTTTGAGAATTCTAGTTTAAAATTGCTATTAAGTTCTAAAAAAATCAAGTGGAGCTGAGTGATTTTTTTCTCTTGAAAGGGAGTGGTAGGTCAAATAAGTTTGGGAATCACTGGTTTAATAGACATTTGTTGGTGACGGAAAAATGATTTTACGGATTTTTACGAATCAATTCATGTTTCGATCGATATATACACACATATATATATATATATATATATATATATAAGTTTTTTTTAAATTTATTTTCAAATTATATTTTTATAAGAAGTCGATCCAATAAAATCATCACTTTTTTCCAAACCATTTAGAAAATTAAATTTTAAATTTTATTAGTGTTTAGTAAAATTTTGAATTTATATTGTTGTATGATATCATTAATCAGGTTCGGAAAGTTTGTTTTCAACATAAAAATATGCAATCTTTCTTCGAAATATTTATTTGAATGTTTATAACATCAGTTTAAATTTGAACGCAATAAATAATTTATGAAATTGATTGATAAATTATAATTTCTGAAATCCATCAAAAATGTTTTTCGTACTAAATATATGAATTTATACTTGATTATCAAGATCCGCAAGTGAAAAGTTCACTTATTTTTTAAATTGCAAATTCCATTTGCTATATTAAAATATATTATTATATATTTATTAATTTTGAAATATTTGTATACTAATGTACATATAAAATCACTTTTGATAATCACAAGCAAAGTAGAGCGGGGCTTAAAGATCCGCGGGGAAAAAAGCCCACCACCGATATCTAAAAACAAGTAAAGTTAAGAATTTTTAAAAAATAATACTTGAAAGAAGAGGGCAAAATATGTTTAATCGCCTTGATTCTTACTACGTTGCTATTTAGATATAAAAGGTAATGTTTGACAATTCATAACAAACGTATTTTCTTTCGTTGTTAGATTTTTTGGTTGTGAGCACTGTTGTTTAGTTCATGAGACCTTTGAAATGAAATGAAATATTTTTTGTAATTTAGTAAAGTAAAGCAAAATACAACATGCACAAGTTTAAAAAAATAATATGTATATGCAACTTGGACGTCGTATTATGTTATTTATAAACTAAATTATATAATTCATCTGCCAAACATGTATTGTGTCTTGTATTGTAATTTCTGGTACATATCAGCTGGTTTTTGGCAATAATATTGTAGATATTACATTTTTCTTATTCATAATCATGAATATGGATATTATATACTAATATTGTCTAGGCTCGCTTAAACTAAATTCAAATTTCAAGTAATCGACATTTTGGCAGATGACAGTTCTCATGTATCAAAATATTTTTGACCATGATATGT